CCCCCGCGCCGCCGCCGCGGCGCCGCTCGGCCTCCCGCCCGCCAGCGGCTCCCCCTTCGCCGGCGGAGGTCGCGGGAGCCCAGTTAAAGGAGGCGTGTGTAAAGATTTTGCAATGTCCCTGCATGGTGTTGTAGACTTTCCTAGCAAAGAAACCGGCTTCGGCTTCTTTAAAATCCCCGACGACTCACCTGATTAACCTGCCTGCGGTGCTGAGCTGACCAGGTAAAGCGAGCCCCCGCACCCCGCACCCCCCGCATCCCCGCCAGCTGACATTGCATGGGGGGCATGTTTGTGCTTGGAGATGAGCCGCTGCCAGGAGCGCTCTACCCGCCCCCCCCGCCCCATTCCACCTTCAGTCCTTGCCAATTGCACTTGCTCAGAGTCATTCACCCCCCCAAAAAATCCAGCTTTGGAAAAAGCGGCACGACAGCACCGGCCACCCAGGGTTCAGTGGCTCTCGCCTCTCGGACAATTATTTAGAATTATTTGCCCTGGTGAATATGGGGGGGGAGGGGGGGGACAAGGGAAGGAGAAGGATTTTTTGGCTGCTGACAGATCCTACCCCGCAGGTTTTGTGTGTGTTTGTCCCCCTCCCGCCCAGGGTCAGGAGTGCCGGGAAAGTGACGAGGCTTTAGCCAAGCAAGAGTTTAGGGCCAGGGTCCCGGGGTGGCTCCGGCGGCTGCGAGCGGAGCAGGGGGACCGGGCTCTGCCCGCCGGTGCCGGGGCGCGCGTGGCTGTGCCCATGCCGCCCTGCCCCCCGCCCCGCCGTGCCCTCTCGGGAGCCCCGAAGTGTCCCGGCTGCGGCGCGGGGCGAGGCCGGCGGGGGGGCTCGTCCTCGTCCCCGTCCCTCCCCCGCCGCTCGCTCCTTCCTGGAACACTTGTGCAGGCGGCCGGCGGGAGCGGAGCAGGCCCGGGGCAGCCCAGCCCGCGGGGCGGGGGTCAGCGGGCGGACGCGCGCACACAAAGGCGGCGGGGCCGCGCGCTGCCGGGATCAGGAGGGGCGAAGGAAAGTGTGCAAAGTCCACGCGCTGCCCGCTCCTCCTGGCACTTGGTCCTTCCTCCCAGCGCCGGCCCTGGGGAGGAGGGGGCATTTGGGGAAGCGGCTGCCTGTGGGGTCTGAGTGTGACCTGGCGGTGAGGAATTTTTTTCACTTTTGTAATTATTTTATAAATTTAATTTTATTTTTAATTTTCCCCTGCTCATTAATACCATGAAGGCGTGACTGGTCTGGAGGTACATTTTGAAGTGCTTCAGGGGATGCGCTCCGTCTACTGGTTTTAGTTAATATGTTTTTCGTGATCCCAGAAAAGAGAGGACTGCATTTAAGAGATGACTAAATAATGGGGGAGGCAAGTAAAAATGAGTAGACTATAAAGGAGACGAAAATGAAGGTGAATGGTAGTGTGGGAAGGCAGGCACTGAGCAGCTTGGGTTTCTCTCCTGTAATTCTTTCCCTCCCCTATATGGTACCCCTATCCCACTGCACCCCTATCCCGGGAATCCTGTCTTTTGATACCATTAAGGATATTCTAACAGTAAACATAGCGCAACAGAAAACCAGATGACAGGCCCCCCCCATCTCCCCCCCGCCCCTCACACTTCAACCTATCAGTGTCTGTGACTGGGAGGGAAATCCAAGTGCCCTTTGTAAAAACCCACCAAAGTTTTAGGCATTAGCTACCCTGTTTAAAATACAACATACGGAACTTGCTTGGTACATTTCATTGTTACTCCCCTGTTTTATTTCAGAGGACAAAATGTTCTGGTGTAGCATGCCTACCCTCACTTTCAGAATGGGAGTAGTTTACAATATAGCCTACATTAGATGATACATGGTGCGTGCATTGCATTTCCACTGAAAATAATCAAAGACTTAGAATGACGAAGCGACTCGTGTGGTTATGATCTTCCTTGTCTTGGGAGCATCAGGGTAGCTGGGGTTCATTGTGCTGGGGAGGGGGGCTCCGTGGTGTGAGGTGTTTCATGTCTGTACAGGAATATGGCAAGTCTCCTTTTAGAGGACTTTAGAAATGTGCCCGGGGCAGGAGAAGGAAAACACAACATTCAGTGTGCTCATTATCAAAATAAGGAAAACAAATCACTTGCATTAACTGTCTGTGCAGTATCACAGTTATTCCACAGTATTTTGTCAGAAATTAAAAGGTTACCACTAGAGTACTATATCCATATCTCCAGCCTGGCACCACTTATTACTGCAATGGTATTTCAATATTAAGTGATCTTAGAGATATTTCGTCTTTCATTTTGAATCCCGAATTTGAATCAGCATTAGGATGTCAGGGCTGTGAGATAAGGTATAACAAACTAAGTAGACAGCTGAAGGGCTCCTGGTGAAGGTGTTGCTGAGAAGGATATCTTGGGCCGTTCTCAGTAACCTTGTTTACAGGGACATTTCAATTGCAACCTGAATTTCAGTGAGAGGCTGCCTGGACTAATGCCTGCGTGTCTGAAGCCCATCACGAGTGTCTTTTGCACTCTAAACCTTCTCTCTGCCTTCCTTGCATAATCGTAAAAACTTTTCTGGAAGGTTAGGATGATTTTCTGATATGAAAATTAAGATGTTTTCCTAAGAGGAACACTGCTCTTTGAACTCATGTACATTAGCAACAAAGTATTCATGAGGTTTGATTTTTTTTTTGGTTCTCTGATGTGGCAGGATCAGTAGTTGCACCAGTCTTTTTAACTTCACGAATAAGGCTTTGATTTATTATATTTTAGCCTCGGTGGTTTCAAACGTATTTTGCAGCACATGAAGTCGGTTCAAGTCAGAATGTGAAAAAAGAGGCATATAGTAACAAGGAACAGTTTTGTAGTGATCTGCTAATTTTTTGTTTTCTTTTCCTAAAGCTGTTCCAGGAAAATCACGTGAATTTAGTGAGTGGGTGCTAAATGCCAGCAGCCACATTGATGAAGAAAAATGCTGTTGAAATACTTTGGAATAATAAATAGGATATGTAATGGTCAACCACAAGATAAACATTTTACACGGTGTTTTTATGGCTCTAAATTGGCTGCATTGTAAACCAAGCTCGCTACTCTATTAAGTCATCAGAGTTTTCAATTATTTAAGATTTTCAGTCAGGCCATCTAATACAGTCTTCATCATCCCCATCAGAAAATTATACATAAGGTTTTAATTCCTCGTTGTTGCTATGTGAGGGCTTTGTTGTGGGTGGGGGTTTAATTTTGTCTTACCAGGACAAATATTACAAAGCCCGCACACAGGAAAAAAATGATATGGAAATAGCCCTAGTCCTATGAAATGGGGATAGTTATGGCACTGAAATGTACCTAATACAATTTGAGATCCACTCACTAAGAAACCTTGACAGTATCTGCCTTGCAGGTACCGTGCATTTGGAAATACTATATCTCCATTTAAATGCAGATCTTCAGTTTTCTCCAGGGGGCAGTTGGCGAATCTTTCGATTGAACCACCGGTACTAGAAAAACTAACTGAAGATTTACCCATGAACAAGAGACCCTTTCAAGTCTGCTTTTTTAAAATAATGATTATAAAATTTCCTAATATTGCAATTTTATATTGATTTTGAATGCCTTTTCAGAAGTCACAGAGAAGGAATAGTGCCTTTTATTCAAGGTAGGCCAATGTCTGCACACTTGTTTAACAGAAATAACTGCTACAAATAACTTCTTTGTTTTTACATGGGTATTGTGTTTGCATGTGAGTTTTGTGAAATGGACAGAGCAGTCTTGCTTTGATTTTGACCTAGATTCCTCCTGATTATTCCAATACAGCTAGTACCTGCTTATTTCCCACTGTGAAAATAGGAGAACAACTGTTGATGCTATCTTGCTGGGACTGCATGGGCAGTAGGCGCATGTCCAGTCCTCTCCCCTCCTCCTCCTCCTTGGCTTCCTTAGTAATGGATAAAATAGCACTGGGGGCCAAAGAAGGTGCAAGCGTGTATTTCCCCTCCTGTGAATTTTCATTCTTTGAGGGTTTGAGTCAAAGAAAATAGGAGGGGAAAAAATGAGTGAATTTGTTTCCATCTCTCTATTTGCCATGCAAATGTTGCACACTTACAGGGATGAACGGGGCCATACAACAAGTCGCATATCCACCTTATTCCATAATTGCTGGAAACTCAGTGTCAGCAGGTGCCAGTCCTCCTTAGAGGGGCTTGTACCATCTAGTTTCTAGTCCAGTTTTGTATATTGGTTGTCAGCTCTTTAGTTTGCAGTGTAACCCAAAGATTGAATTAAATGCCCAGGACACAGGGAATGGTAGCTCACTCTTTGGGACGCAGGCAGCACAAACTACTTGAAGCAGGGCAGGCAGTAGGTCCTGATCTTTTCTGTGCTGGGGGTGATCCATGCACTCCTGGCTCCTATGCATTCCTGGCTTCTCCTGTCTTCCCACTGTAGGTCTGGGGATGCTGCCCTTGTCCCTGTGCCAGAGCCATGAGACTGAAAATACCTACCATCCATGTTATGCTTACCTGTTAATGGCATATAACCCACTGGCCTCAATACCCTGGAGAAAATGTGCACTTCAGCTACTGCGTGGAATTCAGGCAGATCTGCAAAGTCCAATCTTACATGCACCAGCATTAATGGCAGAGCTCCCATTCAGCTTAATTGATATTCCTATAAACATCTGCGGGTTTCTGTTTCTAGTGGAGGCTACAGCTGGGTGGACTTCTTAGAGGGATGTTTTGCATATTGAGGTTGAAAGGGAAGTTGAGCTTGATACATTAACTTATCATCTGTGTCATTCTCTTGACATCATTTGGATTACTACAAGCATAAATGACAAGCAGATTAGGTGCAAGATCTTCACACACACACATCCATTTTTAGCAGGTTGATCAGTGGAGATGTTACTTCTCTGAAAACCTTGTTCTAAGTCAAGTCCAGGCAAGCACAAACCTGTGCATGCATATACAAGTGGAACAAGGCCTATCCTTTACAATTCATTTTTTTCCTTTAATATCTAGGCAAGATCTCTTATTATAACTTGACCAATTGGGGAAAGAAAATGGAACTTTTCTCAAACAGCTTTTCTGTTGGGGAATCTAGTGGCAGTTGCTTTGAAGCATGTGTAATTGATTATCATACATTTATTTTAAAAAGGAGACATAACAAGGAATCTAACATGATGTTTTGGAATATATCTTCTCCCCACAATGTTCTTGAGGGAAATGTAAGGTTGCAGGCATCATTTCATGCCCTGTATG